ATGCCATCAGTGACAATGACTATCTTTAGTCATTTTGTCTGTTTTACACAGACAAAACCGTATTTTCAGTTAACCAAGAGTCACGTATACTGGAAAGGTACTAAGGGAAAAATGCGGAGATTTTATCACCCCCAACTACGCACGAGGTGTAAAGCCCAAGTGCGAGCGTGGATTTCAAAGCCATTAGGTTTCCTCAAGACTGGCAAAATACTTCAGGAGTCGAACACTGTTCCAACACATTTCCTTGCAGTTTTTAAGGCTGCGCTTACTGAATTACTCCTTACCCTAGAACACCCTAGCACAGAGCAAGGTCGTAACACTTCGTTTGACTGAACGGCGCGGCATTTACACACTGGCGTACCCGGATTCTCACAGCATTCTTCAGTCAGGAGTGACAGATTCACAAAAACAAACGGGACGTAGAAAACTGACAACTTACTCCACGATCGTGTCTCGGTCTGCGATATCACCGAGCACCATGCGTTGTATTATACTGTTGTGCTCCTCCTCGGACAGGTTTTTGTATGACACCAGAGGAATGTTGTACTTCGTTGCAGGAGATGGGTCAACTCCTTGGAGCCACGCATGGTTTTCAATCTCTTCCAGAGACGCCCTTCGCTTCGGGTCTCTCTGCAACATCCGCGTAATTAGACTGTGAAGAAAAAATAAGTCTAAACAAAATGCGCTCACGGGTTGAAGCAGCAGCCACTCTAAGAGCAACAGTAGGAACCGATTTCCTGCTGTCAGTCCATCTTTAGAATCTTTTGTCTCTACAGCAAACAACGTGATGGGAAATTATTTATTGTCAGAGACGTTCCTAATGCTGCTGAACTGAAACAATTTATAGTTTTTAGTATTTATAGTTTTCAGTATCATGAAAAGTGCAGTTTCATTTACAGTGCTTATGTTCTTTTTGGGTTTTAATAGCTCTTGTAGGGCAACTGTCACAGGTGGACTACAGGCTGGTCTGGGAAGTAACAGAAATGTAATATTCTGTTATTGCTGCCATCAACAAGATTATGGAATGGCGAGGTAAAGGGAAATTCTTTATTCTGAAATAGCTCTGACATTTGATTCTTCAGCATCCCTGAAAACAGTGATCTGTCTGTCTGGAGGGGGGGAAGAAAACCCCAAACACAACACTCTCTGGGATGGTGAAGTGACAAACCTCCTAATGGGTTGATATAGAGTGTTTACAAGTGCGGGAAAGGAACTGCACAAATTCCCCACATGAACAGAGAAAGGACTTGATTAGCACATCTCCGTTCACTTTGTAGACACAAACAGTTACTGGGGGAGGTGCTTTTGGCTTTGCACAACAAACGGAACGTGGATAAACCGTTTTGGTGCCAAGGTTTCAATGAAACTTCATTGCTCCAACCTGTGGAACGCAAATTCCGTGGCTCTCACGTCGTGTTTTTTACTGCACTCACGACACTACACCACGCAACTGCAAACTGCAAGGCCACACTAACCACAAAGATGATCACAACGCGAGAGATGACGCAGGGAATTAAAAATGGAGGTTACCTCGGACTTGTTAAAACTCTACTGTAAAAAGAAATGTCATGTACATACTGAGTAGCTGTGACTCTGCCTGTACCAAGAGGAAGGGCTGGGTGAGACATGAGAACCTTGGTTTTCTTTGTGCTTTTGTTAGCATTATGACAGAAAGGGAACAACCTATACACTTCATTTGACCTTTTTTAAGCTACACACCTGCAGTAAACCCACACAGACTTCCACACGTGCCTCGTGTTTTAAGCTGGCTTATGCAAACCAACAAGAAGGCTCTCCCTCCTCCGAGCAGGAAGTTTAAACATTCCTAGAGTATTTTCCCTAAGAAACCTTGAGCTATAGAGGACTTGGGTAACTGGTCATACATTGCTGATGCAGGAAAAGGCAGATTAAGGGCCTTTAAGCAAATAAGCGTTAGCCAATACAGTACGCGAAAGGCTGCAAAAAAGGGTTTCCTGGCCTCAGCACAGCATGCAGCATCTCGAGAGATGTATGCGATACAGTTCACTGATAAGAGCTCTCTGTTCAACCTCTTCCTGTATGGTATTTTAAACCTCTTCCTGTACATAAAGCTCCTCAAGCTGCTGAGAGCACCAACAGCAGCTTTTCCACGTTGCTGGAAACGCTGGACACTAACGACAAGACACACAAGCCAGCTGCGGCGTCGTGTTATGCATCAGATTCCTGGACCACACAGAGGATGGGTGAAGAGAGGGACAGTCACTGTGATCACAGCTGTAATGTTTCAGTCGGCATCAAATAGCAATCCTGTCCTATCCTAGCAATAGATGCTGCTCTAGGCTTTTTTTTTGACTGGACCAAATGCATTTTCCAAGCATTTATGAAGTGATCTGGACTTTCATACTGCAAATGAAAAGATACTCACTCTGTTGCAGATTCAGGAATTCCAGTCAAACATTGTAAAAACAGTCTATGTGATGGGTTATATATTAAAAGGACTGGAAGGGTCATTAACCAATAGGGAAATACTGGAACATACCAAAAAAAAAAAAGAAGGCTGCAGTGAAGACTGCAGAAAAACAACACATCAAAATGAGTCACGATTCCCAAGTGGCATATGGTATTTGCAGACAGAATATTTTTCTCCCTTGATTGCCTAGAATGTCGATTTGGAGTTGCAATTTCAGTAGGAGATGAGCAAAACTTGACATGATATCCTTAAGTTTTGACAACCTGCGTTTTGAACAGAAATCTACAGGAATCATTACTTTTTTAATCCCTGCCACAAAACAGGACAAATTACAAGCAACAACTTGTAATTTGTCCAGCAAGAGTGCTGGCCAAGGCCAGTCCAGTGGTGAGCAGCTTCTTCAATCGTTTATAAAATGCATGGCAACTGAGACACATCAAAGAAAGATACACTGTGTAAAATCAAAATTAAGTTTCACACAAGTGTGGGAAAAACCTATTGGCAAAAAGTATCAACCTTTGGTAAGAAGAGACACAAAGAATAAAAAAACGCCATACTGGTGCCCGAGAAACTACTCAAATGATGTGACGAAATACTAACAACTAAGCAAAAGCAGCAGACAGGATATCTTACTAACAGGGAAGGAAAATTCCACACGCTGATGATATGGTATGGAGAACTCCCAAAGGTAGTGAGAACCCAGGTTTTTTAGTGCTCTACTTACTCTTTACATTCTTTGGACACATGAGGTGGCACTGTGTACTTGCAGTCCATTATCATAGTCAGAGTTTCACTGTCATTTGCCTCTTGAAACGGTGGTTGTCCACAAACCAACATGAAGAGGATGACTCCCAAACTCCATATATCTGTAAATATATAGTACATACTATTTTAAAATAACTGTTGAGGTAACAGACACAGTTACCATCAAATCCATTAAATATCCTTGAGATACATACCGGGATTATTACTGCCCTCTTGATTATGACTTATGGAATTCGCAATTCCACTGAAATACAAGATACAGTAGTTCCATCGTTTGACAGCTTTTATAGTTTTAGAGGAAAAAAAGAATCAGAATTCATGACTTCAAGGATGCACAACAGTTTGAGATGCCTAACATCTCTGAGAGCAGAGTGTCAGACAAAGCTGAAGATAATGTCACTGGGAAGACAAGAATTCATGATGAGACACCCATGCTGAAAGTACGTTCCTCTGTGAAGGACTAGCGTAAGCCCTTCTCAGTGTGGTTCGCTGTTACTCTATGAAGCAGAGACATTACAAAGCAAGTGACTTATTTCAGCGAGACTGAACAAGGTGTGTTCTCCTTCAGTAGCGTTGCTTAAAAAAATTCTTTGCTACTTCTAATGGTAAACAAGAAATTAAATCATTTAGGTTAAACTGCTTTCTTACACCAAGCATTAGAAAGTGGGGAGGTGGGGTTTTTTGGTTGCGGGTTTAGTTTTTTTTAAATATCTAAACATAACAATTAACAGTGATCTCTACTCCGCTCTGGGAGTCTTCTTGTTTCTCTCCAATTCCTGCTTGTGGAAAACAAACATACAACAACTTTTTTGTTCCCCCGTGAAGTGACATACCGAAAGATGAAAGAGAAGCACTGCTGGGCATGAAGCCCTTCCGTTGGTTTCCACTCACTGTAAAAACTAATACTGAATTCAAGTCTGTAGTAAGAGTTTGCCTGGGTCATGTCACAAGTCTCACTGCGTTCGATACAGGAAGTGTAAATATTGAGAAGTGTTTCATATTGCATAAAAATAAATAAATACTAGCATACACTTAGAGAAAAGGCCATGCTCCTAATCTTCAGCTCCCACTCCACGCTCTGAAAAGTTCAGTGGGAATTTTGGGTCCTATACCCTAGCATTCCACAGATCTGTACCCAGCAAACGCAAACAGCTGAGGAAAGAGGGGAGAGCAGCTGGCCACGGTCATAAAAAGCAGAGCACACCAGCTCTGTCCTGGAAGAGTTTGCAAGAGGGGACCACGCCAAGTTACCTACCCAACCACATCGTGCTTTTTCTGTACTCAAAATACTTGACGTGCATTTAAAGCTGAAGGATGGCTACAATTTTATTTCATAATGTAAATCACACATTCATCCCTAGAACAATTATTCATTTTGCTAGTTACAGCCCATTCTTCATATGGTTTAGCTGACAGAGGAACGGAAACAGTGCATGGTAATTTTCTTTAGAGCTCTAATTTGTAGTAAGTGTATGCTGTTAACTCAGACAATTATTTAATTTCTGCTGTGCTTACTAGGCCTCAATCCCGCAGGTACTCAGCATTTTGAGGCTGGAACGCCGTATCACCCGTACGTGCAAAGTCAACACGACTATTCACACGTTTAAGATCCCCTAAGTGTGTCAGTACTTTGACAGCCTGATGCCAGAAAGCTGAACGACCTGGAATGTAGGATTCAAAAGCCTCACAAGATAATTACACCTAGGAGGTACACCTTTAATTGGGTAAAGCTACTTGCATCTTTCTCCTAATGTTCAGTTTGAAAGTGCCAAGAGGTTTTGGTGCATCACCTCTCACCACACAACAGATAAGAAGTCTTTTTTTGCAAGCACATAATGTGTAAATTCACATGTTTTAACAGTCATCTTTGAGTTCTCAATGTTCTTCCTACATTTTTAACTCTGCCTAAAGTCTCTTCTGTGATGTGATCTATCCTCATATTCCAGTTGATACTCTCCCTACAATGAAGTGCTTCACTCATCCTTTCGGCATTTTAGTCAAGTCCAGGTAGCAGCACGCTGTAGGTGTGTGTTTGAGGAAACCAAAGCACGACACAGCAAGAACTAAAATAGCGCTGACAGCTGAACACGCAGACCTTGAACGCTCCATCTAAACCAGCCCAGAGTTGTCTCAACTGAGCTATAACACACAATTATTTTTCACTCCTCACAGCAGACACAGTGTAAAGGATGGCAAGAGTGAAGGAAGTGGTAAAGAAAAAAAAGCTGACAGAAAACAGGAAACATAAAATGTATTTTCAAAATAACTACATTTAAAATCACAGAACGGTTTGGGTTGGAAGGGACCTCAAAGACCATCCAGTTCCAACCCCCCTGCCATGGGCAGGGACACCTTCCACTAGACCAGGTTGCTCAAAGCCTCATCCAGCCTGGCCTTGAACACTTCCAGGGATGGGGCATCCACAGCTTCTCTCGGAAACCCGTTCCAGTGCCTCACCACCCTGTCCAGGAAGAACCTTTTTCCTGAAAATATACAAACCCTGAAAGAACAGTGGAAAAATGGAACTGGTTTATTCACGGGTGTTTTAAACCACCATAATCTTCCATCCAACAGCTGTGCACAAACCTAAACAAAGTAAGAAGTATCTTGCCCTTCCCAGCCCTTGCCCTTACCACAACATTTCACACTGGCACTTGTTCTAACACATAACACTGCGGGAAATAAAAATTGGGATTTTTACCAGCAGAACTCTCTGCCAGTTTCCAGAACAAGCAACAGGAACGCCTGTGGGTTTTGTATTATGAAGCTTTTATTTTGCATGCTTTGCAGGCACTTATAGCTTGACATAGGTAATACTACAAAAAGGGGAAAATAATGTCCTCTTTGTAAAAGTAAACTTGAGGGTTCAGAGTCTTACTCCTTTGTAAACATCTCTTCTAAGTTTAAATGTGACCGACACTCCCAATATGCAAGTAAGTTGAAGCGTGCTGTTTAAACTAAATGCTGTAGCTTCTGCTGAACTCAAACTCCAGTGTTCAGGATCCAAAGTCTTCAAAGCAGATATTCCAAAATAATGAGTTAACACCCACATATCACTTGGAAATATTTAAGAGATCAACAGCTAAATGACTATAGGGTACACATAAGAAATGCTAAGGTTTGTGCTCAATTTACTAGTTTGAAGCTATTTTATACATGCAAAAAAATCAATCCTGTAACTGCACTTGCCACTTTTCTCACCTGGAGATCCACTAACTGCATTCTTATCAGTCATACTCAGAAAAAAATACCGCAAAAAGAGTTTTAAAGAAATAAAAATACTTTCTGCCCTCCAAAGATACAATTTCTGTTCACCCATGTAATGTTATAACCATGGTATATTTTGGAAAATTCTTAATTTCCGGAATAGTGCCATCTGGCTGACAGAGGCAAAATTCAAGGTCTTTAAACCCAGCTGCCTTTGAGAAATGAGTAAAGGAGAATCAGATTATTTCATTACAGCGCTTATTTACCAGATTTTATTGTTTCCCCAAACAATACACAGAGCCACACGCGGGAGTGTGCTCTGCCATACCGTTTGGTGCTGCCATAATCAGCACTTCATTTATTAATAAGAAAGCAGCAGCTCATCTGTCCTGTGGGTGCCAAGGAACCCAAGGGAGAGGGTTTGCACTCACTGATCGCGTGCTGTGATCAGCGCAGGCCGTCCGTTCTCGTGCCGTAACCCGCTACTGCTGACTCCGCTCGCAGAGTAACTCCTGCTGGGGAGACCCCTTCTACCAGCAGAGCAGACAAGGGCACCTTCGCCTTTCATTTCCAAACCCCAACCTTCCCCTGCTACTACAGGGGGTTTCACTCCAACTGAGCGAAAGCCTCAGCCAAGATCTAGGGGCCCCATCGGGTCGAGAGCATCAGCTCTGACGAGGCAGTGGTGTGAGCAGATCAGAAAGGTGTTGGAGCAGCAATGAGACAAGAGCCTGACATCTCAGGAGAGAAGCAGCATCTCTTCCTACACCAAGCTAATAAATGGGGAAGGGGAGAAGAAAAATAACTCTGAGCATATTAAAGGAACAGAAGTATTTCTTTACATCTCCACACACTTGCAAGTGCATACTGGTGGTGTTTTGGTTTGGTTTTTTGGTTTTTTTTTTAGTGAAGGCAGCCCTTAAAGTATGTTCTTAATTTGATGTATCTTATGTCAACTCAGGGGAAAAATCCCAGCTGAGGCAGCTTCCTGCTTTCACACATTATTAGGAGCTGTAGAAAAGCACAGAAGACAACATCTATTTACATTTTTACTAATTCACTGAATGGTACTGGTTCACCCAAGGGTTACACAAGCACCGGGGGCAGAAAAACCACAATATGGGCAGGAGCTAGATGAAGAGCAAGGCTGCTTTTTCAGGAATGGCTTCACCATTTGGAAGAAAAATCTCACCTTCAGTTCAATGCAAATAAGGTTTGACATAAGGTATACGCAGTAAAGAACTCTGCAGAGATCTGCTTCTCCTCCACCTTCACACCCCGACACATGCTTTTAAGATACTTTATTAGTATTACACTAAAAAAAAAAAAAGAGCTTTTAGGCAAAACTTTTAGATATTGTAATAAATGTACAAGTGGACAGTTTAACCAGATAAAGGAGCAGGTTTTGTAAGCAAGATTCCTTGCCACGGGCCAAGGACTCAGCAACACGTTTTCAGCTCTATTTCCTTGTCACAGCTCAGAACTCAGGGGCCAGCCCCAATCCTAGATTTGGGACCCCAAACCGAAGGCATGCCGGGGACAGAGGGGTCACAGACCCACCTTTGGAACAGCAGATTTAAACAAGAATTTATGCTTCACAATTTCAAGGGTTTTACTACTCTCTGTAATTAGCAGGTGAAGTTTTCACAGAAACAGCTTACTTCTCCAAGGATCATCTGATTTGCCCTCTTCAGAAAACTGGTGGAAAAGCAGGATTTAGGCCTGACACACTGCACGCCTTGTGCATGCTTATGAAGGAAGGCAAAGGAGGGCACTTGTACACTGCAGTGGCCAAAATCGAGTCTCTCTCAAAAGCACAGTGAAGATCTCAAGATGCCATTTAGCCTTAAAGTGGAAACTAGTGACCGGCAACCAGCACTGCTGTAACAAGAAT